TAGCCCCCGCTGTACCCGCGGGCGGCGGGGCTGCCTGCGCTCGCTCCGAAGGCCCCTGCCAGCAGCCGGGTGACTTGCCCCAGCGGGGACACAGCAGCTTTTTTAGTGCTCTGTTCGGTAGGAGCAGGAAAACACCCTTGTCTTTTAACCCCCGGTGGGGGCCGGTGACCGAGGCAATCCCACCAGCTGTTGGTTGTCCCTTCAAGGCCACTCGTCACCTAACAGGAGCAGATACCAGCGTCTCAGATAGGGTCAGCCCAGCCACACTTCTGCTGCCTGCAGAAAGCTGTAAAAACTCACGAGCAAATCACGTGGAGACTTTTTACAAGCTTTCTTCCCTCTTACGGTGTAATTCAACATCCCTTTTCCTCTCCGTGAACTCCCAGGGGACAAGGGGTGGCCATGTCTGACAGCAGAGACGTGTCCGGGCCAGTCTGTAAATGACGGGGAGCTGGAGCTGCCAGCAGAGCCGTCGCCCGTTGCCACCTCTCGGCAGTAGTCGATACACATGCGATGCCACCGCCCGTGTCTGTCCGTCTGTCGTCGGATGTGGGTAATGCGCTCGACGGCATCGTCTGAGTGCTGGGCATAGTAATATATTTATTCCACTGTATTCCTTGTGTTTCATACTTAAGTTCTGTGCAAATGTGTAATTCTGATGTGAAAACAATCCCATTCACTTTACAATGTTTTAACAGTATTTACAGGGATTAATGCTGTCATCCCTTGCTTCAAAACGTAAATGCTTCCCATGTTTTTCTTTTTGTTCCTCCCAGCCTCCCTCCCTTGTCACAGGAGGGGAGGGAGCCCCGGGGCCCCCGGGGGGGGGGGGGGGCGCGCGGCGCCAGACACTCCCAGCTGCCACCCAGGCAGGCAGCGGTGCTGCTTGCGCAGGCAGGGCCAAGGTGTCAAAGCTGGGCAGGGCCAGGCAGGACAGGAACTGTCTGAAGGTGCTCTGTTACACACCCGTAATGCCCGTTGTGGAAATGCCCGTGGGCTGTGCGGGGACACGGCAGCGGGAGAGGATCTTCCTGGGGAGCTGCCCCGGGACCCTTCCAGGCAAAGGAACAGCAACCCGCAGTTCACAGAATCACAGAATCATTAAGGTTGGAAAAGACCTTTAAGATCATCAAGTCCAACCACCAACCCAACACCACCATGCCCACTAAACCATGTCCTGAAGCGCCACGTCCACGCGTTTTTTGAACACCTCCAGTGATGGTGACTCCACCACCTCCCTGGGCAGCCTGTTCCAATGCTTGACCACTCTCTCCATAAAGAAATTTTTCCTGATATCCAATCTAAACCTCCCCTGGCAAGGTTACGGGGGCCCAACACTCAGGCTGCCTTCCCACTGATGATTCCTTTGCTGAGGACATGTGGCTGTGTGCTGGGAGCAAGAGAGAGCCCTTGTAGCTGTAAGAGCACGGGAGCCTTTGCACCTCATCCCCACACTGCTTAACAGAACAGTGCCGAGTTTGGGCACAGGGCATGGAGTCCCATGTATGGGACTTCCTATGGGAGCAGCCTCTCTTTTTTTTTTTTTTTTTTAATTAAAGTTCCAAAGCTGAAGTGAGAATGGCAGAAGGTGGTGCCGTGCCTTGTGGGGGTCAGTGGGGAGGGAAGCGGCTGCACGTGGAGGTGGAGATGGAGGTGCAGGTGGAGATAATTAATTGGGTCAAGTGGGTTTGGGCATGGTGCTGTGGAGCAGGAGCTCTGCTGCTCTTAAAGGCTGCAGCCCCTCACTGGGGAAGGATGGGCAGGAGTGGGACTCCAGGGAACTGAGGAAGAGGAGGATGTGCACTGGCACAGAGAGGCAAGTGGAGGAGGGATGGAAACTGGTGACTGGGCTTAAGGTGATGGGAGAGGAAAAATAAAACCCACTGCCTTTGAAGCCTGCTAAGAAAGCAGATGAAGAAAGAAGGGACAGGGAGAGGGGGAGGCAAAGAGGCTGAGATGCTCAGGGAACAAAGCAAAGATTAAGGTGACTACTGAGAGCTTAGGAAAGCTAGGATCCAGCTGTAGTAGCTTTGGGATGCTGCGAACATAAAAAAAATAAAAAATACCATTTTAAGCAGATAATGATGAAAGACAAACTGGGGATGAGAAGACAGGATTGAAGTGTTGAAGCACTGATGCTCTGCAGCAGAAGGACCTCTGTTTATACAGAGGCATTTTACTTGCATAGGCAGAGGGATGAGGTGCTGCTGCCTTCTGGGGGGAGTGGGCTCATGTTTGGGGAGGACTTTGCTGCAGACGACAGTAGCAGCTCCTGGCAGATCTGTGCCCCCCACTTTTTGGTAGGGGTGGTGGTGCCCTGGCAGTCTGGATCCCTCTGGGACCTGTGCTGGCCTCTCCATCTTCAAATGCAGCAGCCTGAGCAAGACACCCTCTTCAGAAACACCCGTGGCATCTTTCTCTGATGGCTTTTCTTTCTAGACCACAAACTGCCTGGAGGGACCTGACCCCGTGCTGGCGATGGCCTCTCACCACGTGATCACGGTCCAGCCCCAGTTTTCAGCTGCCCCGCGGGTAGGAGAGTGGCAGACAGGGCTGCTGGACTGCTGCTCCGACTTCGGCGTGTGTGAGTGCATACCTACCCCTCGCTCCCGGTGTTGGCTCATGATGTGTTTCTGGTGGTTTTTTCCCTGCTCTTTCCATTGCATTGTCCCTGCTGCAAACCCTGCTTTTGTGGGTACCAGCAGCGGAGCAGATGTCACTTGAGGGCAAGAGCCACGGCTCCCACGGACACATCCCCGGCCAGCTTTCCCCCCTTTCATCTCTCTTTGCACCCTCCCTCCAAGCCCATGTCCCGCAGGTATTTGCGGAGCCTTCTGCTTCAGCTGCCTGGGATGCCAAGTGGCCGGGGACATGGACGAGTGCTGCCTGTGTGGCCCCAGCGTGGCTATGAGGACCCTCTACCGCACCAGATACAACATTCCGGTCAGTGACCAGCCGCGGGGCCTGCCCCAAAGGCAGCAACAGCCGTGAGCTGGGCGCTGGAGTGCAGGCTCAGGGAAGGAGAAAGGGGTGCCCGAGGGGAAGAGCAGCGGCGGGGAGTTGCCTGGGCAGGCAGGGAGCCAGGGGCACGCCTGCATCCGTGCTGTGAGCCGGGGGTCATTCCGTCGCACACTGCTTCATCCCGGTCCTCGCCGGGCATGAGCGGCAGTGTGCTGTGGGGCCAGGGGTGAGCTGCCCTGCGGTGTTGATGGTGATAAATAGGAAGACTTAAAAGCTGACATAGGAAGGGATTATTTATACAATGATATCCCTTGCTTCGCAGGGCTCCATTCTGGGTGACTACGCCTCCACCATGTGCTGTCCCATGTGTGCGCTCTGCCAGCTGAAGAGAGACATCAACCGGAGGAAGGAGCTGGGCATATTCTGGTAAGCTCGATGTGCTGGCGCTGGTTGATAAAGCCACTGCTGCACAGAGCCAAGTGGGCTCCCAAAGTCTCCCTTTCTACCAACACCTGACTTAAGACACAGGGTTGCTGCAGTGCTGAAATAGCAACGGCCAGGTGACAAGGGTGACCTCTCCCACAGCAAAATGTTGCTTGGGAATCTCTTGCAGGATGGGGGATCTACCCAGGGTCCCTCACCTGGGTCCAGCCAGCAAGGCAGGACTGGGGGGGACAGAGACGGATGGACACGGGGACATGCACCCGGTGTGGTGAAGCATAGCCCCGCTCCCCAATCCTCCTCTCTGTCCCATTGCAGATGCTGCCGTCCTTGCCGCACCCTGTGGAGCTACTGCGGGCAGGAGTTGCCGCTGCCCTGGGCCTTGGGAAATGCACCATGAGTGGTTTGCACTGATTGTGGTTGATTTCCCCCTTCCCTGGGTAACACCAGCAATAAACACCAGAATTTGTCTTCCTGCCTGTGTGTGGTGTTATTTCTCTGTGTACTCCTGCAGCGCCGGAGGACAGCGTTGTACTTTCATACGCTGTGCGGTCAGAGCAACGCTGAGGCTATCAGATAAAGGAGACTTTCTCTTGCAGTGGTGGAAGAGCTGGGGCAATCTGCACCTCGCTGGGGCATGGGGGTGCAGGGGTTTATCCATCACCTTCCGTAGCGAAGAAGAACAGGGAAGAGGTAACTCTGGGACTGGGGTTGCTCTGCAGCCACCGAGTGCTGGCTCAGATTGGTTTAAGCTTTGTTGCTTTTAACAGAAAAAGGTGGGTTTTGCCCAGACTGGGCAGTGGGCTGGGGCTGCACAGGGCCCTCTTGCTCTGGCATGTCTCTGCTTCGGTACTGGCACCTTCAGAACCGGAGTGGGTTGTATTCAGAAATACATTTCCCACCCTTCTGTTTTCCCCACCACAACTGCCATTGCATTTTCTGCAGTGGCTGCAGCACCATCACATCCCTGGTGTAAAGGGGTGAGGCTGTGCCCCTGCTGACAGCCTGTACACATGCATTTGCACACTCCGTGCACAGAGAAGCAGGAGAAGGCAGTTGTGGCATGGTGACAACACGGTGAGCTGGGAGCTGACAAGTGTGTGTGTCTGCTGCAGGGACAGAGGTGACTCTGCTGGTCTGTGCATGGTCCACAGGCATGCTGGGTCACCTCTGCTCTCTCCTGGCTGCTGCTCCCAAATCCCCATCACCTACAGCCCACCAGGCACAGAGCAGGGCTGGGTCTGAGCCTCCCCCCACAGCACAGGCAGCTGTGTGATTTGGGGTGGCCAGTTCAGCAACAGCCCTGCTGCTCCAGGAGCTCATGGATGAGCTGAGAGCACCTGAGTCAAGGTCTTCAGCGTCACCCAATCATGAGTACTGCAGTCCCCCCTTTCCGGTGACAGGTGAGCCCTGTGTCCCCAGCATGAGGCTCATGCAGATCCTCTGTGCCCTATCTCCCTTCTCACTATGGTGGTTGTTATGGGGTCCCCTGACAGTCATTCCTGGTTGGGGCGCTTCTACAATTTGGTCTGTCCTGGAAGGGGCTGCCAGGACCCCGTGGCTTTGCCCATCCCTGATCATGGGGTCTCTGCTCCAGGGCGGTTTCTCCCCCAGTGCACACAGGGGCTGGGCCACTGGGACCGGGGACCAGAGCTACGAGCCTCACAGGGACCCAGGTCCTCACGGGGCTCTGGACCTTGCAGGCAATGACATGGCAGTGCTGTACGGAGCCAGCAATAGCCAGCCCCAAGCCTGGGTGAGGGGCATCAGCACCCACCTCATCTGAGGAGCATCAGGGGGATGCAGGAACTGCAGGTGATGCCTGGTGAGTGCCCAGAGCACCCACCAAAGAGTTCTGCACCCAGCTGCACCACCAGGGCTGAGCTGGGGACAGGGGTCTGGGGTTCATGCTGCAGGAGAGGTGCTGTGCCATAGGGGTGGGAGGCTGGTGGTGCTGTGTCCATTGGCAGAGCCTGGTGGGGTCAAACACAGCAGGGCTGTGTCCGGCTGTTGCTCAGGAAAACCCTGCCATGGGATGGTGGTGTTGGCTGCTGCTACTCGCCCAGCCGGGGAGCGGTTTGAGTGTTGCTGGGGCTGTGGGGCCTGTCCCTGGGCCAGGGGCCATGTGGGGTGGTGGCAGGTCTGCGGCACTACATGGGGTGTCGCTGTGGGGGTCCGTGGGTGCCTCCTTCTGGGCTGGCTGGAGCCAAGCGCCATGTGGGTCTGCCCCAGGCAGGTTCCCCTCTCCTCTGGGGGTGGTTTCTGGGTCCAGGGCTGGCCCTGCCGGGGACCCTGTCCTCTGTGCAGGGGTCGTGGGGTGGGCACGGCGGAGCTGAGTGACACCAGCCTGGGGTGCGTGTCCCTGTCCCTGCTGCTCAGGCTGTGCAGGTGTCACTGCCACAACCGGTGAGGGCGACGGACCGCACGGGTGCGCGAAGGTCACAACAGTGAGTTTTTAGGTGGCTGTAGTACACAAGGGCATGGAAATTTTGTTTCTGTGACTTTATTACAAGCTACTACGAATGACCGCTAGTAAAGCAAGTACATACTTAAGATCACTTACCTATAGGCACACCTACATGTGTTATTTGAGGTGTTACCAGCATGACGCTTGCCAAAGCACTGCCAGGAGTGGGGACGACAGAAAAGCCTCTTGTCACAGGTGGTCTGGAATCAGGAGTCAGCCAGGCATCCCTGACAAGGGTCCGTCTGTCTGGGAGATCTCTGCAGGTGCTGCATTACTTTTACACCTTTCTGGTGCAGCCGTGTTAAGCGGGTGTAGTACACCACGTGGCAAAGCAGCTCTTGCTGGAAGGTCAGCTCCCTGTTGTCGTGGTTGCTGCGCTCACTGTCACTGCGGTTTGTGTGTGCCGGCTCGAGGAGGTCTCAGCTCCCTGCTCAGCTCATCCGGGATGCCTGGAGCTCCCGGCTCAGCACTTGTCCCTCTTGGCCGGTGCATGACTGGGTCACTTCTGTGGCTGCTCCCACACCTGGGCTGAGGGGCCCTCTCCCCTGTGGCCGGGGGCTTGAGGTGGAGCGAGAGCTGTCGGGGTCTGGGCCGACAGTGGCTGGGGGCTCCCCAGGCAGAGGTCAGGGCTGGGCACTGGGTACCAGCAGCAAAGGAGGGTGGTAGGTGAGCACTCAATCCCCTATGAGGGCTGTCTGGGCTGCCCCTGCTGCCTCTCTTGGCACTACCTGAACATGGGTGTGGGGCGAACAATGCCCGAGGGGGGTCAGTGCCATGTGGGGAGCTGCCACAGCGCTGCCACAGCCCCCCAGACCAAAGCTCCTCCCAGAAGGTTCGTGCCGAGTGTTTGAGGGGCTGGGAGCTGCAAAGGGAGTTGAGGGAAGGTGGAGCGAGAGTGAGGGTCCAGGTACCCTGCCCTCCCAAAGTCCCCTCTGAGCCTCTGTTTACAAGTCCCACAAATGCAGCACTTACTTACTTACTTACTTACTTAGGTTTTTCTGAGTCCCAGAAATGCAGGATTTGACTTTTTCTCTGAGCTTCAGAAACACAAGGCTCTGCTGTTGAGACGTAAACCCACAGGAATTAGTCTTTTTCTGAGCCCCAGATGCAGCACTGAATTTCTGTTTTCTGCACCTGTGTGTTACATGATGTTGGGGGGGAAGGGAAACATACAGCCCCTGCACAGCCCAGGATCTCACATGCAGTTTTAGGGAACGCTTGGGAACTGGGGTGGGGGCAGCCCTCCCTCTTGGGAGGGCCCAGCCCTGTAACCTCTGCCTTAGCTGCTAGTGAAGACAAGCAGTCTCCAGGCCCTGTTGGGAGGGCCCAGCCCCTTTAACCTCTGCCTTAGCTGCTAGTGAAGCCAAGCAGTCTCCAGGCTCCAGCCTTTCAGGCTTTATCCGCTCTCTGCCGACAGTGACCATCCCATACAGCAAACCCAAGGGCAGTGGCAGCTTCTCCCCCTCTGCAGGGAGCTGTGCCTGCGAGTGCAGCCCCGGTTGGGCCTCTCACACCACAGGGGTGCTTGAGCCGGGGAGGAGCACCCAGGAACATCTGCTGCTCCCGGGGTACAGGGGGGACCTGGGCTGCTCTGCCTCCTCAGCTAAGGAGCCAGGCAGGGATCAGGGTGCCAGGCAGGGGGTTCTCCCTTGTCGCCCTAGCCCAGACACAAACCCCAGCTGTAGGATCAGGCCCTTGTTCAGGAACCCCCCCAGATGCTCTAGGGCAGCTTGTAGCCAGGCCCACAGACTGCTCCCCACTGGGCAAGCCACATCAGGCTTCTCCCCCCTGTTCCTCCATGGCCTCCCAGGCCAGGGCTGCAGCCCCAG